GTGCAGCTGGGGAGGTAACTGTGGATGGGGAAGACAAACGACTCCTTACACGTGGCTGCCCAGATGTGCTACTCTCTCAGGGATGCAGTGCCTGTCTCTGAGCATCCCTAGCCTGGCATCATTCTATCCTGGATGGTGATGAGGAAGCACACTGATTAATACAATATCATTCACTAACATGCTGATTCATTCATTCCATGTTATGACTGGGTGCCTTCTAGATCTTAGGTACTGTGTTTAACAACACACATACACCTCAAATAAGTCACAGTTCTCTCTGCCAGAGTACTTAGAAGCCCATAGGGGAGTCAGATTAGATAATGCCAAATCAGTGTGGTGACGATAGAGGTAAGCATAAGTTGTTTTTAGGATTCCTCCATAAACCCTGATACACACATGAAATTTATTATACCACATCCCTGATTAAAATCCTCCCAGGTACTCCCACCACCTGAAGACTAAATCAAAACTTCTTAGTTTAACCATTGGTCCCCACCAGTTCTGCCAAGTGCCATCTTAACCACTGCTCAGCAGACTCTCTGCCTGTGGGTGGCTTCCACTGAACCACCTGCCGAATGACCCAGCACTCTTCATTCTCTCTGTGGGATACATTGACACCTACATTGAGACTTGCCTGCTAGCAGGTTATCTTCTAGTGCACTCCGTACCCACCAAGTGAGAAATAAACTCGCTCAAGTCAGTCCTACATGTTCCAGACTTGTTTAGGCCAACTGCACCTGTTACTGTGATCATATTATGAGGCTGATAAAGTATGAGTATGCAAAGAAAGACTGATGTGGATCCATGAGAACTACCTTCAGTGGTTTGAAAAAACCTGACAAAGGCATGTTGAAAGAATACCACAGGGTGGAAAACATGATGGCATGAGATTGGGCTGGAGAATACCTTTAAAAAAAGTTAGACATCTACACTTAGATTTTTTTTTTGTAAGTGTTTGAAAGTCATCCATCTTAAAGAAAGCAAAACTAGAAAGAGTAGATGATGTGTTGCAGTGTGCTTCACCAAAGAAAGATGATTGAAGCTATGGTCAACAACCCACAGCCCAAAGGAGCAGCTTTGGCCTGGTTACAAATGAGTGGTGAATGGACATACAGTCAGATGTTTTTAATTAAAATAAAGTGTTCCAGGCAGAACTGTATTATTTTTTATAAAAGTGTCCTGTGTCTGACTTTTGGGAACAACCAACCCCCTACTGTTCCCAACGGAGGCAGGTAAGGAGACATCACCGATTATATCTGTAACTCCCCTAAAATGCCCCATGTTCTGTCACAACTCCATGACTTTGAGCACAGTTTCCTTTGCCAGGAAATGTCCTCCGGGCTCCTGTATCTGGCACATTCCTGTTCACTCTGCACTGCCACATCAAGTGTGATTTCCTTCACATTGCCTCTCCTGGTTTGTTTGTTATTTTTTCCTTCCTCAGCCAGCAGCAGCAGCTCATTCCTATATTTGGGGACCGCCCCACTCTACGAGATGCAACCTCTTACTGTAGAGGGTGCAAACACCAGCTATTCTCTTCTCTGCTTCCCACTGCTTGAGTCCAAGTACCTGAGCTAGGCAGAGTTACATGCAACCGCAGGCTCCAGCGACATGAAGCTGCCGGACACTGCAGGCAGATCTGCTCTGGGGTTGCTGGTGGTGGCAGTGCAGGAGGCTGACTTCAGTTTCTGGGGGTGCCAGTACTAGAAAGAAGGGGTGGCTTTGTGGACTTCATGTTTGGTTCCTTGATCTCAGATATTCTGGATTCTGGAAGGACTCTAGTAGCCTTTCTTAAATCACTTTTCTGCTCAAATCAGCCCAAATTTGTTTTGATTGCTTCAACTGAGAACCCTGATGACACTTTGCCTTCAAGGCTGTGATATGACATTGTGACTGTTCCTATGTGTATTTGCCCCCCAGTGATTGTGAGCTGGAAACCGTGCATCTCATCTCTGTAAGTGTCTAGCACAGGACAAAGGAACACAAAGCAGATACTCAACAAATTGCTGTTAATTCCTTAATCTGTGAATTCATTAGTTAATCACTGAGTGAGTTTCCCCTGAAGATCCAAATATAAAATGACAGCAAATGACACCAGAATGTGTTCAGTGGCTGGGGAGAATTGTGGCCCATTCTGCCCCTATTCCTCACAGAAGACAAGCACAGGCACAGAGAGTTCCATAGCATTTAATTAAATATGAGATGGTAACACACATTGGATACTTAGATACTTAGCAGCTCTGCAAAATGTTTGTAATGCACATGGGAAGTACACGGTCCAATCAGAGACCTTCACTGTAGTGAATGCTAGAGAGTTTTTAGAACAATCCCAAAGAAAAACCACCGAGCTGACACAAATACCATCGGATATGTCCCATTCCAGTTGTCTTACCACATATTCTCACCGCCTTCCTGGTCAGTTCTGTCTTCTAGCCCCTCTAGAAGAGCTATGAAAACACAAATAGGTGCATCTGAAATAGCCCATCTTTGGCTTTTCTGAAGCCAGTTTCCATGGAAACCAGAAGGACAGGAGAGGCAATGGCTAGTGGAAAATCAGTTGGATAAGCCAAGGCTCTCTAGGTCCAGCCAGGATTGTTTGAATTGACCAAATGAGCTGCCTGTTTAACAGCTCTCGTTTCACGCTATATAGAACTAGCAGTTTACATCACTGTGAACTTACATCACTTACATCACTGAGTGCGTTGTCTCTCACCAGCTTTTCTTTCTTTCTTAATGAAATCCAAAAGAGGGTTGGTCAGAACAGACTTGTAATCTGATATTATACAATGTCCCTGAGTATAAGATCACACATGAGCAGCAGTTATGATTATAAGAGGATAATACATGGATTTTAAATTCCTCCAGTAACAGACAGACATTCACACATGAAATTCAAATGATAATCTGTGCCCAACAATACTGAAACACGGGATTTTAGAGCTGGAGTGACTTGGATCTTCCTCTAGACTTATCCCCTCATTTCTTTGAGAGATTATCTACTATGTCAGGGAAACAAACTTCTGGCTTTCAGTCCTGACCTCACACCTAAAGTGGAATAACTTACCTGTCCTTTCTGTGCCCCAATTTTCCCATAAGTCAAAGCTAATGACACACTTCATGGGACTTCTGTGGATAAGGTACAAGAGAACCAGGCTAGCATGAGGTTTCCTGTGATGACCTCCTCTTTGAGACCTGGTTCCCATTTCTACAAAAGGTAAAGAACACACGTCCACCTGGTGGAAAAGGTCTTCTGCTGACACACCAGACAGATTCTGCTTTCCCCATAGACGTGTATCACTTTTTTGGCGTTTTTTCCTGATTGTCTTCAACAGGCTACTTTGAACATGCCCCTATTATAGCACTTTGTGTGATTATAATCATTTGTTTACAAAGCTGCCGCTTTCATTAGATTTTTCCACTTTATAAGGCCCCCAACTTTATTTGTCTTAGATCCCCTACACCCAGCTCTGTGGTTGGCACATAGCAGGCTTTCCATAAATACTTGTCAAGGAAATGAAAGGGATAATGCTTATGGAAATGCTTTGAAAATCACAAAAGCACTAAGCAAATCTAAGGGAATGTGAGATTATATTCATCACTACTGATTCAGAGAAAAGGATTTGGAAAGTAAAATGCCCAATGGAAGAATAAATGATCTTATTATCATTAGGCCTCTAAGCCAGCAGATAAGATCTGTTCAACAAAATTTAAAACCCCCTTCCCAGATATCACAAAACAAAACAAACAAGAAAATTAAAAACAGGTCACCCCCCAACAAACTAAAAACAGAACAAAAAGATACAAAATGTCAACAACAACAACAGTGACAAACCCCTGAACAAAACCAAGCCAAACCCTGAATCTATTATGCCCTTCATGATTTCCTGTGCCTCAGCTGCCCTGTGTGGTTCTGCACGTACCCAGGGGCTGGAGGCCTGTGGGAGAGGCCTCCGCTGTTCTCCCCTGGGTTGCAATTTCTCAGCTGCCTCGACTTGGTTTGAGATAGTCACTAGAAATTCATCTAGACCAAGAAATGCAAGAAGACACATGTCAAATCTTCTTTATCTTCCAGAACAGGGCCAAGTAGGGCTCATTCACTGCATATGCTTAGAGTTCTCCCTGGAGCTTGTGGCAAGATACAAGGCCATAAAACTCAGGACAGTCTGTAGACACATTTGGGTTGGGGCAGTCTCTACACAGATATAAAGTTATTCTTGGCTTATTGCTCAAATGCCCCTGTGTTCAGAGCTGGCAACAGATTCTTCTATTATTGATGGATGCAGCTGAGTGGTGGTAGCAAGAGAATCATGCCCTTGATAACTAACAATAGAAATTCTGGGCTTCTCCTTTTTCAGAAAAAACAAAATCAAATAGAATTCGTGTTTTTTTCTTGCCTTCTTCAGTTTTTGTAGACATGGCTGGTCATGGTAGTTCACATACTATATGACCCCTTCTTTCTCTTAGCCTTTTTTCGTTTTGGTGCTCACGTCCCTATGTGTCTGGGAAACTCCTGGCTTATGCTGCTTGTCCTGGAATGAGTATTTATAACTTCCCCTTTCGCTTTCAAAAGTGACCCAATTTGGACAATAAATTATATAGTCACCCCGTTCGTTATTAGTGAGGTTTGGCACTTGTGAATGGGACAGCCTCTAGTCAAGGGGAAGGCACATGGCTGGGGGTGGGGGGGTGGGAACCACAGTTAGACTCCGGCCATCAAACTCCACGCTGAGTGGGGACAAAGTGGACAGGTTACTTAATGCCCCCAAGCCTCAGTTTCATCATCTATTAGGAAAGAGAATAATAATAATAATAATAACAATCACCCCAGTGCCCAGGATTACCATGAAGATGCAGGGAGACAAGCTGTGTAGAGCACAGCATACACAGTGAGTCCTAGTAATGGTAGCTATCAGCGCTGTTCTCCTTTCCCTCTGTCTTCCCTTGCCCTCTTCCTGCCTTCCACCCCCCTCCCTCCTCTTCTCTACCCTTTCTTTAATTCTTTCCTGCTTCTTTTTCTTTCTGAAATAATGGACGAATTTGGGTTGCCTGAAGCAGAGCGCTCCTGCCTCAAGCCAAATGCCCTGGAGTGGGGAGGAGTGGTCCAAGCTATGTTTCTGAATCCTGTAGATTATATGGAGGGCTGGCATTAATTTCTTCTTCTTTGTGCTGCAAGGGGAAGTAGGTAGGAGCTTAGTCATCTTTGTTGGTCATCATGGTTCCAGTCCTGTGTTTCTGACAATTCATTGGTTTTGGTAGAAGCTGGACATAGTGACATATGCTTCTTCCTGACTTGATCCCAAGGAAGTGAGCACGGGCTGTCCCTGGGCCGTTGGGTTCAGTGTCAGAATTCCTGACTGGAAAGGAGATGGAGTGGGCACAGTGCTATTTGTAGTTCCTGGGCCAAGCAGCAGGCCCTGGTACACATGAGGCCCATTCTTGCCGCTTTCCCCGCAGTCTGGGGACCTAGAAGAGGGTTGCACAAGGGCCTCACACATACTGATGCTCCCAGCCAGGCATCCGAAGGGTGAATCTCCTCTGAAAGCTTTTGGGGTGATGGCTGCATGCTCTGATGGCCAGGTGGGGCCCTGCATACCCCCTCCAAGCCTCCGCTTCTCAGACTCGTCTAGTTGTGAAGGAGAAGTGTCTTGCAGAAAGCTTTCTGCTTCATCTCTAGCTTGAATGCCATCCACCTTATGAATCTGGCAGTCCAGGAAGCTTTCAGGATTGAAACTCACATTCAAATTCTACACCAGAAAAGAGAGAAGGCATTTAGAGTGCTCCAAAGGGACACACGAGCAAAGGTTCAGTCCATGGGAGGACGTAAAGAACTTTCTGACAGGGGTCTACCAGAGAATGTCAGAAAATTACCCACATGTTCTAGTTGACTCTGCCTCTGGAGACACTCTGACACATCAGAGTCCGAAGGGACTGGCATGCCCTCCCGCTCTGGGGAAGTCTGGGAGACTTCTGAGACTTGTATCTCATTTTAGTTTCCCACCTCTAGGGAGGTACAGCCCAGATCTCATGAGGGACCCTAGTCATGGGATGCACAAAAGACCAAAACTTATCGCTGAACTCTTCTCTATCCTGCAATATCATTCTTGGCTACTGGGATGCCTCCAACATTGTGGTAGAAGCACCAGAAGCACTCACCTTTTTGGGTTTCTTGCACAGTTGTTCCAGAGTCTTCTTATGATCAGGGAGGCTGGGCCACACAATAGGTTTAATTCTGAAATAAGAGGACATTGACAGAGAGGAAATGAATGGTGAGGGAGCATGCACAGTAGGTCTTTCCACTCATTCTGAGCCAGAAATCAGAAGAGCAGGTTTCTAGTCTTGGCTCTGCCACAACTCTAGGTGGGTGAGCTTGGACAAGTGACTTGCTTTCCCTGGGCCCCAGTGTCCTATCGATTCACAGAGGGGTTATTGTCAGTGATCTCCATGAACACCTCTGGGAGAGAGCCCTGGGGAAGAGGAACAGTGAGGTTTGGCAATGGTGTAGCTATGGAACCAACATTCACCCTGTTCATCTACTCCTAATATAGGTGTTGTCATCTTATTCCTCCTCTCTACTGGCAGCAACTCCTCTGCTCTTATTCTGGTAGAGATGAAGAATATTATCTAAGTCACCCAGGAAAATTGCTTTAGGGTGTACTTTATAAGTTGGAGTCTCATGAGAATATGTGGCACTGTGCTGTGGGAGTCTTCCTAGAATATTAATAACTTGAAGGTACATGTCAAAAAGATCATTTTTATAATGAAGCAAACATGGCTCTGTCATGGGGTAGAATGTAAAAGTCCCATGAAGTCATGTGTTGAAATTCAAGCCTTCAAATACATTCTGCATTTTCCCTGGGTACCCCCAGCTGCCCAGACATTTTGGAGGCATAGTTCCTATTCCTTTAGGAGAAAAAGTTGGGGAGGAGGGTTTGCCCTATGTCTAATTTACTTATTTTCAAATCTTTATGAAATTAACTGTTGAAATTCACCAGTGCCCCAGGCTAGGGAGGAATGTGGGCACTGTAATCCCTGAAATGCCTTATTCCCCTTTGTAGTTTTCTCATTAATAAATAGGGTTAGAGCTCCAACTGTCTGGGGCTCCATGTAACCATCCTCTTGATTAGTTAAAGTTCACCTTTTTTTCCATAACGCACAGGCCAAGATGACCATCAGAGCCACAGAGAAGAAACTCAGAATGCTAATAGTTAGTAAAACAGGATCCATCCTCCCTGGAATGCAAGGATAGATCTTGGTTAGCAATCATTAACCATGCAGTGGGGGAGGCTTTCAGGGTGCTTTGAATTTATTTAGTAACTTAGGACCATTTATTATTTCTTCAAAGTTGCTCTTCGGTGAATAGGATGATACACTAGCTTTATGCACTAGGAATTTTGGCTTCAGTAAGTGGCACTGAATTGGGTGACCAGGTCTAGAACATCTGTCACTTGAAATATAAAAGTGACCAGGTGTCTAAGGCTGGCAGCACTCTCTCCCCAACTCCCACCACCAAGAGAAGGAAGCCCAGTAGGAGAATGATGAGGTGGATGCTCTACATTACAGGCTCGGCAATTTCCCGTCTGAGAATGGGAGGCTCGGATGGCAGAACGGTTCCCCTCATACCTCAAAAAGAAGGTATGTATGCAGTGTTTTGGTTCCTCAGGGGCCTGCCTGAGCCATGTTCTTTGTTTTTTCTGGCAATTCTCTCTTCCTAGACCACATGGATATCTTTGTTATTCTGAAAAAGGAGACATGGAAGAGTAGCACTTGCTTGCCCATCTTCCATCACCAAAGGTGTTCCCTAGAGGGGCTTTACAGAGACCAGCCATTGGGATTCCAATCTAAATTGATAAAGTGGAGGTAGTAGGTGGGCATTTGGTTCAGGATTAGTAGCAATTCCCAAGGGCACCTGGGTCAATAGAGTAATTGATGGTACCAGTAGAGTCATTTGATCGATGACTAAGGGCCCCGCTCCCACCACTTCCTTGTTCTTCACCAAAGGGGCAAAGATGGCAGGTCATTCTCCAAAGACGGTGAAAGAATGCCCTCAGGGAGTCCTAACTTGTGCGTTCACTTCCCTGCTCTGGCTCTCACTCTTGCTCACACACTTTGACATGCAAAGCACTCTGCAGGGCACAAATACTCTTCAGTCACTTCCCACCTGTGATCTCCGGAGTTCTGAAGTGGAAGGTTGGACTCCATTCACTCCAGAAGCCTTGAAAATAGTTGGCATTAGGGATGGACCGGACTTTAATCTCATACATTGCATCAGGTTGTAGCTTTCTCTGTAGAAGGGTCAGCTTTGTACTGGATAAGTTCACATGCTAAAGAGCAAAACATGCCATTACATTTTTAGGATTGAAAAAGAAGTGCTGCCCGGATCCCCTGAATCATTTCAAGTTGAGTGCCTTTAGTCACATGGGTACTCTCATTAGGAAAAGGAGCTATGACACGGGGAGAACCATGTGTAAGTTCCTAAATGATGCTACCAGTGGTCAAGGAGGGCAACAGTACCATGGGTCTTTGTTCAGGTGAGCTGGGCTCTCCCACTCCAGGAGGATATAAATCACTCCCAGGCTCCCACCTTCCTTTCCACACTTCAATTTCTTTCTTTCTTTTTTTTTTTCCCTCCTTCTCGCCTTTCACATTCCAAACGGAAATAAAAGGGAATGGTAAGGTTAGTGAGCAGGAATAATTTCTCTCTAGAAAGATACCATCCTACATTGCAATAGCAATACAGAGACAACAGTATCTTCAAAAATGTGTATCATCCTTAAGAAAAAAAAGCATCTTTCAATTTGATCGGTAAAAAGTTAATATTCCATTGCTATTTACATTTATACTTTTTATTATGTTATATTTATACTTATTCAATTATTAGTTTTCATATATTTATTGAATTTACATATTTCTTTTTTTTTTTAAGATTTTATTTATGTATTTGACAGAGAGAGAGAGCGAGAGAGGGAACACAAGCGGGGGTGTGGGAGAGGGAGAAGCAGGCTTCCCGCTGAGTGGGGAGCCCGATGCGGGGCTCCATCCCAGGACCCTGGGATCATGACCTGAGCCGAAGGCAGACGCTTAACGACTGAGCCACCCAGGTGCCCCTGAATTTACGTATTTCTAATTTATGAGACATTTCCAAGTTTCTTGCTAATTTTTCTGTTGTTACATTTGTCCTTTTCTTAATGATTTATAAAACCTCTTTAAATATGCCGGATATTAATCATCTGTCAGTTGTATGTGTGACAATTTAATCCTAATTTCTAATTAGCCTTACGACTTTGATTATTGTGTGTGCTGACATTTATAAACCTTTATTTTTATGTAGTCACATGTATCCATCTTTTGCCTTTTTTTACTGCTTTTATGCTTAGAATATTCTTCTTCATCTCAAGATTATATAAACATTTACCTATATTTTTTCTGCCTTGTTTAGAGTTTCACTTTTACATAATTTCCTTAAATCATCTTTTTATTTTATTTTTTAATATGGAGCAAGTTAGGCAATTAATTTTTTCTGCAAGCAGCGAACTGACTGTCCTGATACCATTTATTCAACATCCTTCCTTTCTCCACTATAGGTGCTTTTCCATTGGTGTAATTTTCAGATGAAGACGGAAAAGGGCAGGATCAAGGTAGCCTAGTTTGTGTGGTGGGTGGGTAGAAGGAGTAAGAAGGCTGTTTAGGGCAGACATTACACTTAATATAAGTACTGTACAGCAGCATGCTGCGGACAAAGAAGGCTAATCTTGGCCTGAGAAAAGGGAACAGTATGGATAAGTAGATACTCTTTTCACCTTGAGAAAGAGAAGCCATCATCTGGTTTTTGCCCATGTGATACGAAAAGGACAGAAGTTAAGCCAGTAGGTTCAGGGGAACCCGAAAATCTGGGACTCCCTACTCTTCTCCCATCTTTTCCCCAAGACAGATTTCAGGGACAGCCAGACCATTCCAACGACAGTGACTCATGGATCTAAATAATCCTCCAGATTATGATACAAATGAAGTTTTTTACTTTGAGGATGAAGAACTCAGGCTTAAAAAAAAATGAAGAAAAATATTCCACTGCCCTCCTTACTTGGGGCTGCTTCCACAACTTCTGTGAACCAAACTGTGGCTATGAGTTGGTGATGGTTTTTGCCTGATTTGCCAGTGAGAGTTGTATACTTTTTGAGACCCCCCCCCAAATAAAGAGGATAGATTTGGTCTTAATCTATATTGCTAATCAATAGCATAATTTAGAAACATTATAAAAACAAAAAATAGAACAAGAAAAAAAAAGTAGAGCTAGAATGGGATGGCCCAGAGAAGATCTAGGTTTTGTGAAACCTGAAGCTTTTATACTTTGGGGAGCTCCTTTCAGGAAAAAGTATATTTTGAACACAAAATTGCTAGGGGCCCTCCCCAGGTGAATGTACCTCTGGGACCATAAAATTTATAACATTAAGAAGTTTTTATTTTATAGTTTTATGTATTTTATAATTTTGTGTATTTTATGTAAATTTGCTTATTAAGTATATTTATATATACATCTTTATGAATGTTATAATAGGTAAATGTAGTTAATCTACATACCATCCAGTCATTTTCATTTTTTTCCTGGCGATAGGCTACCTCATGCATTAATTCTTTCACATACTTCTTTTGTGAGTGAGATGTGTTAAATGTCACCAGAAAGTCATTTGCTCCTTTGCGATAGATGACTCTTATGTCAAAAGGAGCCTCGGGTTTAACTGGAAAGGAAAAAGAAAGGAGGTCAGTCTATAGGGCAGTCAAGAAAATAATTATACTTTTTAAAGTTCATCTATTCTGAACATCACATTCTTTTTCTGGGTCAGTAACGGGCAACAGTTCAGAAAACCATTTCTTCTTCTTCCTGGTTCACAGTCCGACTACACTTTTCAGCCTCCCCAGCAGTTGGGTATGGTCTTGAGTGCAATGTGGGTAGAAGTGATGTGCACCACCTCCCATCCTGGCCCAGAAACCTTACATGTATGGCCTTTTGCTTATTGCCTTTCCACCACTTGGAGTCATATGTTGAAGACAGTGGGACCACAGGATGGAGGAACTCTGAATATTGCTTGGAGGAGCATCACCCACAGATTAGAAATACCCATTTTGGCTCTTATGTGAGCAAGAAATAAACTTTTGGTGTTTGAGATATCATATGTTTTAGGGCTTATTTGTTATAGCAGCTAGTGCTAATTCTGCACTAAAACATATTCTCTTTGCCTTTTGAATACTAGAGAACTTGCTACTAACTAGCCCTGAAACAGGAGTATTTAAACTTGGAGTCCTCATTATTCCAATAAAATCAGATTGTAAGCTGGGAGTCTTGTACCTCACCTCAGCTATGTAAAAGTTGAGGGTCTGCATCCTGGCCCTAAGCTCATAACTTCCAGTGTGACTTCAGTCTAGTTTGCATTAGCTCTAAATTCTTCTCCGGTCTCTTCCTTCTGTCTGCCTGCCATGCAAAATTCCTCTTAGGATCACACGCACCATATATGAAATGCTTTTGGAGGGAGATAGGTTTTATTCTAGGCAGAACCAACCCAGATAAAGATACTAAATTCCCCGAAAAGCATGCGTGTCATGTGGCCTCCCCACCATTTTCCAGGGGCTTTCCTGTCTTGGGTTCTTAGCTGCTCTATCACCAAAGCCTGGGATGGTAGTTAGCTGTCTAAAGATGGGACAGCCACTTTTTTGCATAGCTGATCTCAGACAGAGATGGGCAGCACATAGGCTAAAATCTAAGCTAACCATATTGTTAATGGGGGAGTATGTGTTCATCAGACTCTTCCTCCGTAGACTGAGCTGGATTCTAAGCTATCTGATTTGGGCTTTAAGGCCGACTTGCTGACCAAGTAAAGTGAACTCACGTGGTGGAATTTGGCTGACTTATTGTAGTCACTTGCTCATAGTGGTAACCACCTAAGGTTTTCCTGCATTGCCCCAGAGATCCTGAAAAAGAGGAAGTGTCTCCTTCTTTGCCCTTCGATGTCTTGTAAAAGAGGAAATTTATTCTTTTTTACTCTTAGATGCACTATAGAAAGGGAAGGTGCCCTGGGGAAACAAGGGGAAAGGCGGGTGGGTATAAAGAAACAGACCAACAGAGAATACTGTCAACCCTTTACACCTGCCAAGCCAGTTCCTACTCTTCATTCAAAGGAATAATTAAGATTCACATTCTCAACGAAACCTCTGACACTGAATTCCTTGCTTCATTCCCATCTCCCAAGGGACTCCCAATAATGGAAGAATTAAGGGAAGAACAGACTGGTATTGATTATATACCTACTAAGCACTAAGTGCTTTACTTACACAAGCTTCCACCAACAATCCCTAATTACTGCTATACTGATGAGGAAACTGAGTCAGAGAGAGGTTAATTAAGTTCAGGCTCCTATAAAATGGTTTGATAGTATTTAAATCCAATTCTGTCTGATTCTGAGGCTCGCTCTTTTTATTTAGCTTTTGTTTCTGTGCTCCATTATCTCACACTGGCTTGTCCAGGTGTCCTCCAAATAGGTCTGTCTCTGGCCCAAAGGGTGTCTTTGAGCACATTAGAAAAAGTTGCTCATTCCTCAAGCAAAACTTTTATAAGTTAATTTATTTTGGAAACAATCTGAACAATAACACAGATTTATCCCACCAAAGCAAATGGGAAGGGAGGAAGCTGCCCCTCTAGCCTTATCAGAGGGACCACACCTAAAGAAGGAGAAGTGAGGGCCAGGTGGTTGCAGGGGAACTCTGGTCTAGGCCTCAATCAGGGGCTTCCAGTTTAAATTTAATTAAATGACAGTTCTGCCAATGAAATAGCACCTTAAGAACCAGAAGAAGGTACTACTGAGCGACATGCCTCCACTAACTCTCATCCTGCTTGCTTACGGGTGCTTTCCAAAGCCCCACAAGGCTCATAACTCCAAGTTCACAGGGGCCCATGCTGTCAGGTGTGAGCACACCTGCTTTTCTCCTTTAGACCCTCAGATGTGGCTTGTTAGGTTTGTTTCTGCTGGGGTAGAGAAAATGGGCCTCTGAGAGCACTGGGTATGATTTGAGAATTCAGATGGATAGGGTGCCACCTGGAGTCCTGAGTATTCACATGCTCACTTTCTAAAATACCAGGATCTGTCAGAAGACTGAGAATCTCTGCACTCGGTACCTGTTCTCGGAAAAGTGAATATATATTTGCAATTCCAGTGGTAAACTTTAGATATCATGCTCTTGTGCAGTGCACTAACCAACCATCCATAACAGCCTAGTCTACAAATGACAAAACCCAGATTCCTTGTGTCCCATACTCAGAATTACCTTGTTGTTGTTACCACTTTCTTAGACAGTACTCACACAGGTTGTGGCCTATGTTGCTATGTGGACAACATGCACAACCCTCTGCCTAGTCTCTTTTTCACTATCTCTGCCTTTTTATAGGATAATTATTCACAGGTAGAACTTCTGCTTTTACTCTCTATTTTTACCAATTTAGTGAAGCAAAGCTAAGGTAGACTCAAAGTTTCTCACCTCCTTGTTGTCTCTAATGAGTATTGCTCTCTTACCTTTGATTTTCTTTTTGGGTGCTGAAGAAGGGGTTGAGAATAAGGAGAGAGAGTGAGTCATAGTATTTAAAACCAGCAAAAGAATGCATCGCTTCAATCACTTTGGCCAATTTCCCCCCTGTGTATATCGTTTCATCTATAAATACCCATCGGTAGAATAAATGCGGGTAGTTATTATTCTATTGCACTGATGCATTGTAATGGGCTTAGACATTCTCCTACACCAGAGTCTCTCTGAGGTTTTGAAAAGAACTTTATTCACCCCAGGGTCATAATCTGTAAGTAATGGGAAAAAAAACTTCTGTGTTTATATTCCCAATCTTCCCGATTACTTTGATTTACTTGCCTGGTAACCAAATGGTGAATTTGTAATTAATATAGACTTATAACCAGGTAATTGAATGGATTTACTAATTCATATTATTATGTATGTGGATATTGTATAGAGCCAAAGGAAACATGTAGTTGAGTTTACCGATTCAAATCATAATTTTATTTGAAATATAATTATTATATCTTTTTTGGCAAATTGTAATATGAATATCCTAAGCCAAATTAGATTGGCTATGCCTCACTTCTCAGTAATAAGTCTCTTAGGAAGATGTGATAGTAATTTCATGTGTCAGCTTGGCTAGGCTGTGGTGCCCACTTGTCTGGTCAAACACTAGTCTAAAAGTATCATATTATTTTCAAGACTTGACTAACATTGAACTCAGTACACTTTGAATAAAACAGATTACCCTCCATAATGTGGTGCTCCTCATGCAATCAGATGAAGGCTTTAAAAGCAAAGACAGAGGGTGCCTTGCTGGCTCACTCAGAAGAGCATGCCCCTCTTGACCCTGGGGTCGTGAGTTCAAGACCTATGTTATGTGTAGAGATTACTTAAATAAAAAAATAAATAAACTTAAAAAAATAAAACAAAGACTGAGATCTCCTGAAAAGAAGCAATTCTGCTTCAGGATTGCAATATAGAGACCCTGCTTGAGGTTCCAGAGCATGACCTTACCCTGTGGGATTTGGACTCAAGACTGAAATATCCAATCTTACCTGAGTTCCTAGCATTCTGGCTTTCCCTATAGATTTCAGACTTGCCCCCCCAACAATCATATGAGCAATTCCTTAAAATAAATCTCTTTCATATCTATATCTCTATCTACATATTATCTACCTATCTATCATCTATTTATCTATCATCTATTTATCTATCACCTATCTATCATCTATCTATTTATCTATCATCCATCTATTTATCTATCTATCATCTATCTATTTATCTATCTATCTATTTATCATCTATCTATCATCTATCATCTATCTCTTTATCTATCTATCATCTATCTATTTATCTATCTATCATCTATCTATGTATCATCTGTCTATCTATATCTCCTATTCGTTCTGTTTCCTCTGGAGAACTCTAATACGGAAGTCATATTTACTTTTAAAAATAACTTGATAATTTAACAGAACACACTCAGAACATGGTGGGTACATGGGAAGAAGACTGCAAGGAATTCAGAAGAAGGTAAGATGAGGAAGGAGAGGACGTACATTGGTGGACAACAGAGGCCCAGATCCAGTGAACCTTCACACAGATGAACTCTTCCTGCAGCCACTATCCTTCATACTGAGTTTGAAGACCCTCAGAATTCTCTTGTAGTACGAATTAGTGCCATTCACTTCACAACTTGCATTTCTTTAAATAATTCCTTCCATTAGGGAATTTGCTATTCCTTATTGAATACAGCTTTCATGACTTGTCTACTTTTAACATGAAGTCCGGTGAGAACCAGTGTGTCCATACGCCCCCAAACAGCACTCACACCCCCGTACCCGGGTTCTCACCTATCTCAACTATGTTCAATTTCTTGGAAGTTATGTTCTTTCCTCCAAGCTTCACGTGTATTTCGCTGTCTCCAATGAGTAAGAATTTCTTTGTCTTAATGAAATACATCTCTTGCAGTTTATCAAAAGTCAGGCATTTTACATTCAAAAGGGCCCCACTGTAGGAACAAAAAGGGAATCCATCTTAAATCAAGTAGGAGTTTCTGTATACAATAGAAATACAATGTACATTTTAGTTGTGTGACTTCAACTCTGTCCACAGGTATGCAGATGGGTAGGTGCTTATGAAAGAGAGAGAGAGAGAGAATTCAATAGTGTGGCTTCTTGCTACCGTCAGACCTAGTGATGATATACTCAGGCATTAGATGCAACTGAATCTGAAACCGTCAAAGCATGTTCATGAAAAAGATGGAAAATTCCTATTTTTTAAGAATCAATCATTGAAAAACAAATACTTTGTTTAGATGATGAGGTAATTGCTCTTTTTGATGTCCTGCAGAAATAAATTGAGAAAATAAAACCTGTAAAGAAACACTGACCAAAAAAAGTTAAAGGAAATGATACAATAGTCTAAAAGATTATATACATAAAACCATACACACTTAATGGGTAATTTAGGGATTTTCAAAGGTAATTTTGACTGTGCTCCACTTTTACCTCATCAACAGACTTTAAAAGCAACCCTTCTTCCCATATTCCTTAGCTTTACAGAAAATAGCCATGCTCTAGGAATTGAACTCTGTCACTTCTATCACTTCCTCTTCCCAATTAGGATCAGATTTCAGGAAAATGAGGGAGAGAGATTGTTACCTACTGTACAACTCACATCAAACTCCTCATTGGGGCACCTGGGGGGCTCAACTGGTTAAGCGTCTGCCTTCGGCTTAGATCATGATCCCAGGGTCCTGGGATTGAGCTCCCTGCTCAGCATGGAGTCTGCTTGTCTCTCTCCCTCAACCCCTCCCTCCTCCACTCATGCGCTGTCTCTCTCTCTCTCAAATAAGTAAAAAAAATCTTTTTTAAAAAAGTTCCACATTATACTTTTTTAATAAAAATTATAAGTTTGAGTTCCAGGAATAGCAGAACAACTTATATCATACTAGTCCTCTAATATATAATTATTACAAAACTTGGACAGCTATTTTTTTTTGGAATTCCTATTTAAAAGCTTTAGAGAGTAACCAAAAATATGCAGAAATGAAAGGGAACTTTCTCCTTTAAAAAAGGTGGATGAGATCTTTGTTTCTGCTTTTTCTTTTTCTTTGTTTGATGGCACTCCTCAGGTCACACTGTGATAGACATCTAGAATCTAATGGGAAACCACAATTTTGTTGTCTTTAGAAGTAAGAGGACTGCCTTCATGGCTGGATATTTTTAATGGGGAAAAGCCTAGAAATGAGGAAACTATGGAGATGTAAGTCACCAAATCTGCGTATAAACTCTGCTCATATCATTATAGGTCCCTTTAATTGTCAAATGTGGAAGAGACTCCAAGGAAACCATGGGCTAACAATAACTAGATGGCTCTAGAAAGAACTGAGCTGAGATTTTAGGTGCTGTCTCAAAAGAAAAGAGAATCTGAAGATTAATCCAGTCCTGTCAACAAACTAACAGAGCTAAAACTAACATTCAGAAGAGGAAGTTAACAGAATCCAGAAAACCTATTACCAATAGTGCCTTCCTACATTCAAAAGCTACTACAAATGACTAAAAAAGAAAAAATGAGACCCATAGTCAAGACAAAAAGCAGTCAATGTAAAGCAGTCACCCTAAAGTGACCAGATGTTAGAATTAGCAGAAAAGGATTTTAAAGTAGCTTTTATAAATATGTTCAAGGGCTAAACAAAGAATATGGTCATAATGATTGAATAGATGTGTAATGTTAGTGGAGAAGTGGAAACTGTAAAAGAGAAACAGATGAAAATACTGTAACTGACAAGTAAATCTAAAATTTGTAAAATTGCACTGAGAGCATTGGATGGGCTTAATGGCAGATTGAAGATGGCAGAGGAAAGGGTCAGTGAACTTGAAGATAGAGCAATAGCAAGTTTTCAGTCTAAAATAACGGAAATGCTCAGTGATGTATAGGATGATATCAAGAGGATAAATAAATATGTAATTAGAATTCCAGAACAAGAAAAGATAAAGTACTTGGGTGAAAAAAAAAATAGATAAAAAATGGCTCCAAATTTCCCAAATGTAACAAAAATGTCTGTTTTTAGGTTTAAGAAACTCAGCAAATCCAAGCAGGATCAATCTGAAGAAAACCATACCTAGGCACATCACAGCCAAATGGCTGAAAAACAAAGACAAATAGAAAATTTTGAAGTATCTAGAGAAAAATATCATTTCTGATCAGAAACTACAGGAACCAAAGACCCTGGAATAATATCTTTAAAACTCTGAAAGAGAGAAAAAAAATATGTCCACCTTGAATTCTTACATGCACAAAATATTCTTTAATAATGAAGGCCAAGTGAAGATATTTCCAGATAAATAAAAATTGAGATAATTTGTTTTAACTTCTTTAGACCAGAGGACAATAATACTATATGGAATTGCAGATCTATAGGAGGCAACTAGGTATGCCAGAAAGGCTATACTTGGGTAAATGTAAAAGACAATATATATTTTTTTCTGTTAAATTATTTAAAGATAAATGATTGCTTAAAATAAATATTATAACATTATTGTGGCATTTATAATGTATGGTAGATGTAAAAATATATAACAATAGTGCATAGGATAGGATGTGATAAGTGGAACTATATTATTGTACTGTTGCAAGTTTCTTATATTTTATATATGAAATAGTACAATATTAACTCTAAGTAAACTATGATAAGGTTGAATATTAAAACTGTTAGAGCAATCACTAAGAAAAAGATATTGCCTAAAAGTACAAATAAGGAAGAAATTGAATATCTCAATAGCTCTATTTCTTTCAGAGGAATTACATTTATTATCAACAAACTTCCCTACTAAGAAAATTCTATGCCAGATAGTTCTATGCTGGTGAATTCTATCAAATATATAAGAAATAGTGCCAATTCTACACAAATTACTCCAGAAAATAGAATAGAAATAGACCTTATCCAACTTATTTTATGAAGTTAGCTCAACCCTGGTCCCAAGAGCTGGCAAAAATATTACAGAAAAGAAATTTACAGATAAATATCTCCCTAGAATGTATATTGAAATTTCCTCAAGAAAATATTAACACATTGATTTACTACTATGAGAAAGTAGGACAAATCCCAGCAAATCAAGGTAGGTTCAGCAATCAAAGATGAATCATACGATTCACCATATTATCAGGATAAAAGTCATAAATAATCTGATTATCTCAGGTAATGCAGGTAGACATATGACAAAATTCAACATCCACTTATGATAAAAACTCTCAGCAGACAATTAACAGAAGACTACCTCAACATGATAAAGGAAATTTACAGAGTCTACAGTTAAAATCATATTTAATGGTCAAATTGTGAACATTTTTCCACTTTGATAAGGACAAAATAGGAATATCCACTTTCACCATTTTTGTTTATCAGAGTACTGGAGGTTCTAGCCAGTGCATAAGGCAAGAGGAACAAACAAACAAAAAGACACCCAGTTTGGAAAGGAAGAAAAAAAGCCTTTCTTTGCAGACAACATTATATAGATACTCCAACACAATTACAGGAACTAGTAGGGTGAATTCTTCAAGGTCAGAATATAAAAGACAATTATATTTCTATAGGCTAGTATCAAATAATTAGAAAATAAATTTCAAAAACAACAGCTCCATTTATGATAACAATAAACATAAAATGCTTAGAGATAAAATTAATAAAGAATGTTCAAGGCTTTGCAATGGAAATTATAAAACATTCCTCAGAGCTATTAAAGGAGATCTAAATAAATGGAGAGGCACATTCATGTTTAGCAAATTTAGTAGTGAGAAGATAGCAAACTCCCCCAATGTGGCGTATATAACATTAATCAAAATCTCAGCGGGATTTAAAAGAAAAATAACAAGCTGATTCTAAAATTTATGTGGAAATACAAATAACTCAGAATAGTCAAACCATCATTGAAAAAGTAGAGCAAATATGGAAGAGTCAGAGCAGCTGATTTCAAATTTACTACAGAGCTATGAAAATGGGGCCATTTTAGCACTGGCATAAGAATAGATAAATTGGGGCACCTGGATGGCTCAGTTGGTTTAGTGTCTGCCTTCTGCTCAGTCATGATCCCAAGAACCTGGGATTGAGCCCAGAATTGGGCTCCCTGCTCAGCTGGGAGTTTGCTTGTCTCTCTCCCTCTGCCCCTCCCGCCTGCTCATGTGCACGCTCTCTCTGTCTCTCTCAAAAATAAATAAATAAAATCTTAAAAAAAAAGAATAAATAAGTCGATCAATAGAAAGTATAGAGCTCAGAAATAGACTTGCACATAGACGCTTAACTGATTTTCAATACAAGTGCCTTATCAGTTCGATGGGAAATAGAAAATCTTTTCAGCAAACTGTCCTGGAACAACTGAATAAATATGTGGAAGATATGAACCTTAATCTTATGAAAAATTAATTAGATATGAATTATAGACCTAAATGTAAAGGCTCAAACTATAAAATATCCAGGAGAAAACATAGGAAAATATCTTTCTGACTTTGGGAGTAGACAAAAATAGTAATAACACACGCAAAAATTAAACACAATAGAGAAAAAAAGACATATTGGACTTTGATCAAAATGAAAACTTCTTCCTCATTAAAATACACCATTAAGAAAATGAAATGGCAAGCTACACACTGGCAGAAATAGTTGTAGTGCATACATCTGACAAAGGAATTGTATCCAGAACATATAAAGAATTCATACCCATCAACAATAAAAGGATAAATAACTCCATAAAAAAGACAAAAGGCTTTAACAGACACCTGCCACAAGAAGACATACAAATGGCCAGCAACTACTCAAAAAGATGGTCAACATTATTTGTTATTTGAGAAAATCACGAGATACTATTTCAAAGCCAAAGGTCAGAGATGATGTGTAGCTCTCACACTTTGTTGGTTGGAGAGTAGAATGGTATAACCACTTTGGAAAACTTCTGGGATGTTTCTTATAAAGCTAAACACACACCTACCCTATGATTCATCAATTCCACTCTG